GACACTGATAGACTAAGCAATTCCCAATGATATAAAGGATTCTTCATTTTTCTATACTTAATATTAAAATTTGTGGGAGATAATAATTTTACCTTATACCTTATAATATATTATAAACTTTACATGCCAGAAGTTATAGCAAAATTGCACACAGTTTCATTTAAATTACTTAATTAGTGTAAAGTACTCTTTAAGTGCCACAGTGTCCGATGAGAACTGGAGATGCCATCTCTCGCTGTACCTGCTGGCAGGCCACTCTTGAATCACCCCTGATAGGTAGGAATGTTTCTGCTTTTAAAGATTTCTAATGGAGAGATTTTACTTGGCAAGTATTTCATCTACAACACCACTGTGACGTTTGTGGAAAGTCTCATTCAATGTTTTTCCCAAATCACTAATGATGTAGGGGACTCCCAATTATGTTCTCTAAGGAAGAGAAAATGTCTCACAGCCGATTCAGAGGAAGGCCCTCCTCCTCGGTCTTCCCTTCACCCCACAGTGAAATATCCTGGCGGAGAAATGCCAGCTGCAGAGTGCTAACAGGCAGGCTCCAGGAAAGGCTTGGGGCACAGAGCTGGCAAAATCGGTTTTCTCTCCACCCTTTAATACCCTCTCAAATTTCATTCAGAAGTGAGATTGGAGGAAACACTTAACTGAAAAATAACCTTTTCTTAGCCATTTCAAATCCTTCGTAGAGAGAAGTGAAACAGAAGTAAATATAAATAATCTTTCTCTAAAATATGTTTTGTGGTAGATTCCTCAGTAAATGCTGAACAAATAAACTCAATTTTCTAACTGCTAAGTATTCTAGAGAAATTTAGCCATAAATAAGCACTTATTTATTGAATTTCTGTGTGTAAAGCACTGCGGTAGATACTGTGGAAACTAAAAACAATCCCCTTTTAAAAATTTTTTGATGTACTTGGAGGAGTGTGTATACATATACATACGTATGTATACACACATATATAAACCACGAATTATCATTATACTACGGAAATGCTACATATCTTGTACATAAAAGAAGTATAGAACTTTGATGTGAGAAAAGAACCGTCTGGATTAAAATGAATTGGGGAGGGGCATGGAAAGAAATGGGACGAGGGTGGAATCTTAAAGAATGAGCAGGATTTTGATGGCAAATCTGAAAAAGGGGATGCAGAGAATGATAATCCATGAGGCTAACGGCGACACATGTATAGTCCATTTGCAAGACAGTGAGAGCCTAACTGCTACTGGAGGTGAGGCTCGAAAGATAAATTACACAAAGTGCTGGATGATTTTGAATGCCAATCTCAGGGATTTGGACTATTTTGTCCAATAGAAGACAGCTCTAGAAATTATCCTTCAAGAAGGCAAATTATTAACATGGCGATTTAGAGAAATGTGCTTAGCAATGTGCGACTTAGAAAGGGAAAACTCCTGCACTGATTGAGCACTTCTGTGTGCACTGTGATGGGTGCTTTGCAGATAGTTTTTTAACTTGACATTGGGAAGCCTGAGCAGTTGGCTGTTGCAATATATCTCAAAATTAAGTTAAAAGAACTTGAGTTGTGATGGCAACATTGAGTAGAAATGAACAAGAGATGCAAGAGACATTGCAAAGGCAGAATCTGTTTAGGACAAACTAGATGTTGCACTTAAGAGTAAGTGAGAAGTAGAGTTGGCTTTAAGGTTTTTCACTTAGGCAGCGAGGGCAGAGATGTCAGGGTGACAGGGTGAGTAGGTTGGTGAGGCAACGCGAAAGTGCGACGTTCGGGATGTTCAGTTGGAATGTGGAACTGGACCTTTAGGAAATATGTCAAAAGTAAAGATATAACTTGTTCTATTTTCAGATAAATGTGTAGATACTTACATCCCAGCACGCCTAACATGCACACACAGCCCCTTTCACTGTTCACTTGGCAGTTGCCTGCCGTGCCGCAGGACTGGGAGAGGTTCTGAACTCACATTTTGGAACCGGAGGCCCAGTTTTTCAATCCTGACTCTATAACTGACTAGCCATGTGACCCTAGGCAAGTTACTTACCTTTGTTTTTGAATGTCTCTGTCTTTTAATTTTCTCATATGTAGAAACAGATCTCGTAGGGTTATCCTGAAAACTACATAAATTGACTTATATGAAGCACCTAGACCAGGTCCTGGCACATAGTAAGCACCATCATCATCGTCATCATCATCATCTTTCCTGTTATTTGCCAAGCTCTGCTGAATACCAGAGTATAAGGAAACCAAGATGAATAAGTTGCTCACCATCCAGTGGGGGTGACAAAGCTTGATACACAACAGAATAAATATTTACACAGTAAAAATTAAAGTTAGTAATTTGTATCTTTGTGATCTTAAATTTTCTGGAAAATTATAACTAATAGTATTTATTAGCAATTATTACTATCATTCAGGTAAATTGTCATGGGTAAATAAGTGAATTGTTTAGATATCAAATTATGCAGTAGATGTTTTCTGAAAAGGCTTTCTATAAACCGAATGTTGGCTAACTTTATAAATATGGTCCATCTATGTTGTTGCAAATGGCAGTATTTCATCTCTTCTTATGCTGAGTAATATTCCATTGTATATATGTGCCACAGCTTCTTCAGCCAATCATCTATCGTAGGACACTTCGGTTGTTTCCATGTCCTGGCCACCGTGACATACTGCTATGTATGCACATCAGTGTGCAAATATCTTTTTGGACATAGGTTTTCAAGTCTTTGGGGTAAATACCCAGTAAAAGGATTGCTGGATCATATGGTAGATCAATGCTTAGTTTGTTGAGGAACCTCCGTACTGTTTTCCATAGTGGCTGTACCAATTTGCAGTCTCACCAGCTGTGTATGAGTGTTCCTGTTTTTCCACATCCTCTCCAGCATTTGTTATTACTTGTCCGGTCAATTATAGCTATTCTGACAGGTGTGAGATGGTATCTCATTGTGGTTTTGATTTGCATTTCCCTAATAGCTAGCGATGTTGAGCATCTTTTCATATATTTGTTGGCCGTTTGTATGTCTTTAGGGAGAAGTGTCTGTTCATGTCCTCTGCCCATTTTTTGATTGGATTGGTTTTTTTGTTGTTATTGAGTCTTATGAGTTCTTTGTATACTTTAGGTATTATAGTAAGCAAAATAAGCCAGACAGAAAAAGTTGAAAATCACATGATATCACTTATTTGTGGGATATAAAAGCAACAGATGAACAGGACAAACAGAGACTCATGGACATGGACTATAGACTAGTGGTTACCAGAGGGTAGGGGAAGGGGGAGGGGGGTAGAGGTAGAAAGGATAAAGGGGATCAAATATAGGAGCATAGCGGGAGGGCGAAGTGGGTAAAGGGGATCAAATATATAGTAACTGAAGGAAACTGAACTTTGGGTGGTAAACACACAATAGAATATACAGATGTCAAATTATAAAGCACACCTGAAGATTATATAATTGTATTAACCAACATTACCCCAATAAACTTAATTTAAAAAGTAAATAAGTAATTAATTATGATCATCGTTTCATCTTAATCTCAGTAGTATTCAAAGATGCTTTCTTATCAGCACTAATGTGCATAACTTTAATTACATTTGGCCTAGAGGTCTGACCACTTTGGTCATTTTGCTATTTTTTTGTTTTTTTTTTGAGGAGGAGCAGAAGGAATTTTAAGCTATGCAAGATACTTTAAAGTAGCACAGAAATTTATTCTACGTTATTATGACCACCAAAACGAAGCTTAGGTAAAACATTTGGGTTTGTCTGTCACAGAGTCGGTGATAAAGTTCCTCACCGTCAGTGACCTGCATCGACGAAGCTGCTGAGGTAGAATAAGCCATCGCCTCCTTGGTCTGTACGTTCTGCCATGGCAGCTACTCTGTGTTTGCCACCATAAACCTTGCACTTGGTAATGAGTGTCCAGTAAATATTTGTGGAATTGATTTGTGGATGATATTATTTTTTTGTTCTCTCCTATATATTTATAACAAATCGTTTCCTGATTTTAACAACTTTTCACTCAAATATAGGACACTTAAGAGACCAAGTTTTCAAACTGTATAGCTTCTTTGGAAAAAACTCAAAGCTGAAGTTACTTTGGAAGCCTTAGTCTGTTGATTTATTTAAGAAGCAGAAGTGAGCTCAAAGGATAAAAAACAATCTTGCATTAACTATTTTAATACTTAAAAATTGATTCAATCTTTTTAAAGTTATTTTTAAGACTGCAGCATGTTTACTTCTAACCTGTGACTCTCGAAATTATCTTTGGCCAAAAATAATATAATGCATATGTGTTGAACAGGAAAAAAAGATAGTTCTATGCATAAGGTAATTCTAGCTAATACTGAATAAAAGGTATCCATGTATAAAATACAGCATATAGACAACCTAAACATAAATGCCAGCCCTGAATCTACCACACTAAAATGATGGCGAGATTAACATCACCTTAACTTTCCTAGAGTGAAGCTCATCTGAGAAGCACTGCAAACGAATCTTAAAAATGTATACTATAGCGAAGAATCGTAATAGCTTATGAGATTTTATAACAGCAAAAACACTATATCTGTTTAATATGAATATACTTTCATTTTAATGCCAAATATCTCAAGATAATAATATTGAAGCTGCTTTGGCACTTTTAATATGTATATATGTGGGGGTTTGTTTTGTTTTGTTTTTTACTGTGATAAATTATAACATAAAATGTACGATTTTAACCATTTTTAAATTGTGATAAAACATACATAACATTAAATTTATCATTTTAACCATTTTTTTAGTGTGCAGTTCAATAGTGTTAAGTGTATTCACATCGTTGTATAAACATCTCCAGACTATATGCACACTTTATAAAGAAATGGATGAGTCCTGTAAGATGTGGTCTATTAATAAGCAACTTTATTTTATATACGAGGTGATATTTTCAAAACATGAACGTGTACCTCACTAATAAAGATTCTATTTTGTTAGGTTTTTAAACAGTCATATTAATGGCTTTTCTCTCTTTCAACTAATAGGAGTGAGCTGAGTCGACAGAAACTTCATAGCCAAGAGCTGCTTTCTCAGCTGGAAATGGCAAAGGAAAAGGTAGCTGAGGTAAGATAATGACCCTCCTGGGAAGCGCTCCGCTGCAGCTTGATGTGCATGTTACAGAGCTTTACCTGAGCCGAGTCCAAATTAATTCTCTGCTTGGAAATGACCACACAGATGCGAGTATTTCTTGTAGAAACCATTTATGATTCTAAAAGTCCATACGTAATGGACTGTGAATAAAAGCTTTGAAAGTCAGTGATTCATTCTGTGTAAATGACAAAAGGTAGAGCTATTATTTCAATTTTACCAGTATAACTTGTGCAGTGTCACAAAAAATGTGTTAGGATCCTCTTTATTGCTGTGCATGTCTAAGATTATTTTTTTAACTCATTCCTTTTATTTTGTTTTTATCCATCACAAGAGACATGTAGAAAACACTTTGGCCAACTGGAACATATTAAAATACTCCTTTAAAATCTAAATATAGTAAGAATAAATCATTTTTTTTCTTTGAAGTTTAAAAAAAAAGTAAACTACTTCTAGATTATGATTAGAGCATTCTAGAACGCTGGTTCTTCTTTTGATGTTCTAACTGTGAATACATTTGTTGGAATCTCATTAATAGGCTGTATGGATAGGCCGCTATCTCTTAGTGGCCTTCTATAAGAGACACAGTGAAATTATTACTCTTAAGTTTTGTAGCATTAGAAAACAATTAAACAAAACCCATTAACGTGCTCTTTGTTGTAGCTCCCACCTCCAAGAATCTGTCCTAAGGAAGTCATTTAAAATATGAAAAGATTTAAAGGAAAATAATAATAGTAATATTAGAAGATCAGAAGCAACCGCAATGATCAGTTGAAAAAGAATAGTTCACATATATTATGATTTACCTAATCCACAGCATAGAAAAATGTACGTTATATGTAGTCTGATCGTGACTATGAATATATTTATTATAGGTGATGGAATTTTCTCCCCAAGTTTTCTCTGCATTAATAATGTGCCTCTTAAATTTAAGACTACATATTTAAACAACTTTGTAAATTGAAAGAGCCAGTATAGTTCTTTCATAAAATTTAATTTTGCTTTTGGGCACAGTAAGAAGTATATTAAGCTCATTTTAACAGGATACTCTTACTTCAGTGTTTTATATTACTAGGCATGGCAGTCACTGTCATCTCGTAGGGTGAGAGAACTATATAGTTCTGCATAGAAAGTGTGTTCTTCTTGCTATTCCTAATTAGGCTTGTTGCTCTCTCAGTTCCAACAAGTGCCAGAAACACTGAATAACAATTCTAGTTGTACGAAACTTTTTTTCACGCAAGTAAGTATGGAGAGGGCTAATGCAGTTTTTTAATCGACAACTTATTCGAAGCTCTCTGCATGGCAGCCTGTTGCGACATTTATATTCATGATGCCTGTGTAGTTTCCTGAGGCTGGTCTTCTCTAACAGCATTACAGACTGGGTGGCTTAAGCAGCAGACATTTGTTGTCTCGCAGTCTTGGAGGTCAGTGGTCTTGGTCTTAAGTCGAGATGTCATGGGGGGAGGGGCAGCAATTCCATGCCTGCCTCTGAGCTTCTGGTAGCCTCAGGCACCCTTGCCTTGTAGACGGTGTTCTCTCTGTGTCTTCAAGATGCTTTCCACCTGAGGTCACATTTGTATAGACTAGGGGTTAGGACTTCAACATACTTTTTAGGGACCTAATTTAGCCAATAACAGTGCCTTAATAACTCTGTTGACTCTGATACCCTCTGGAGTATACAGATGTTTGAGGAAACATGTAGAAACAGAGTTCTTGCCCTTATAAGGAATAAGTTTAGCATAGAAATCATTCAAGACATGTCTAACGCTGAAACATCAGGATTTCTAGAATGAATATTTCCTGTTTCTTGACCTTCATGACAATGTCACCATTTTCCGAGCAACTTGCTCCAGCTCGGTGATTCTAAACACACTCTCAAAAAGCATCAGCACCACAGCATCAGCACTGCCTGGGAGCTTGTGGGAAGTGCGGGTTCTCAGAACCCGTCACCCCAGCTCTGGTGGGAGGCCCAGCGGTCTGTCCTCATACTCCACATCCCACGTGGTCCAGCTCCTCAGGTTTAACATATTGCAATTTGGAAGTCTTGTTCTTAACTTCTGATTCCTTTGCTTTGGATTTAATTTACTCTTTTTTTGTTGACATGTAGGGAGGGAAATAATTTAGTCAGAATGTAATGCCAACTTTGAACTTTCAAGTTCATAACTTGAAAAAATATAAATTTGGAGACATATTATCTTTGCATTTTTTAAGATGTTCAGATTTTTCATTGATTATTCCCCAAAATGTCTCCGTGTTACATACAGATTTCTAACTTGTTTGTTTTATATTTCCCCTTAATAGAATGAAAAGCTCATTCTAGAGCATCAAGAAAAAGCCAACAGACTTCAGAGGCGTCTGAGTCAGGCAGAAGAGAGAGCTGCTTCAGCTTCCCAGCAGGTAGGGGCCCTCATGATCCCCTGGTGGTAAATAGTGTGTGTGCTAAGTTCCTCAGAAGTGCCCAGAGCACTGGTAGTGTTTTTTTTACTTGATTAAACTATTTAAAATTAGCCTCTTTAATGAAAAAGTAAACTTTAAAAACAGAAATAAACATCAATCTTCTCTAATCGACTGCTAAATCTAGTACTATACTGTCCAAGACGATAGCCACTAGCCACCAGCAGCTTTTTAAATTAATTAAAATTAAAAATTGGAATGCTCAGTCACATGAGCAGATTTCAAGTGCTCAATAGCCATATGGCTGTCACAGCGGACAGCATCAGTGTGGAACAACTCTGTCACAAGGCGTTCTGTTGGACAGCACTGCTTTAGAATTATGCTATGTCTGAAACACCACAGTTATTCAGTGACAGATTTGGGAGTAGATAACATTGCTTTGAATGTACCATTTCAGATTGCACTAACTTTGTTTTTATTGTAGTTTTTAAATGGAAAAATATTACTTGATGTGTAGGTTAACTTCATTTAATGCACATTTATAGATGACTGTATAAATCTAAAATATGACAAAGTTTTACAGTGCGAAATAGAGTTAGAAAATTTAGGCCATCAACGAGATACTAAGTGGCAATTACTCATACATACGTAATAATGAAATGGGCCATTTGTCCTAAAATAGGAGCAATAGTGGGAACAAAAGGAGACCAGTTTAGTGAATACAAAAATAGGCTGGGAACAGTTTAAATAGATAAGATAGATAGGCAGGTAATCAAAACAAACCAAATTAGTACATTATTAATTATATTGGGTTACAAAATCAAAATTAATATTATTCTTAGATATTACAACATTTTATATGTAGTAAAGCAACTCTGAATACTCACTGAATTCAGTTTCTGTTTGTGATATTTATAGATTTTTTTTGAAATCTACTTCTAGTATGAATACAATGTAGCACTTAAACGAAATCCAATAATAATTCAGCCTTCTCCTCCCCTTTGAAAGTAATCATCACTCTATCAGATAAGTTTAATTTCCTATGAAGTTATGAATTAATGGACTACTTACCTCGTCATTCAAGAGTCCATTCCTTCCTATAGATCATACAGTAACAGGAGCGAGGTGAACTGGGCAGCACCTTGACTGTGTGTTTTGGAGTCAAGCAAATAGCCTACTGCCACGAGGTGGCCACGCGACTTTGGGCAACTTGAAATTCTCTAGGCCTTGGTTTCTTCGTATTTAGCATAGTCATTAAATGATACGTAGATACTTAGGTATATAAGAAATTAAATGTCTTATTTCACAATCCTTAAAGCTTCAAGTTTATCTTTTTTTTTAAGGAATGTGATAAAGAAAGATGCCCACTTAAAATCAACTACGTTGAGTTTTACAGTAACAAGGGTACAGTTACAGAACGTTAGTTATATAAACCAGTCGTCATCCATCATCCAGTTTAGTCTCTCACCTGACAGAATTCAGCCTTAGCAGTTCAACACTGTTTTCCTGTATCTAAACTCTCCAACGGCCAAGATTCCACCGTTCTCTCTTTGTGAGCTTTTTTTTTAATGTTTTGTCAGTTACCATTTCACGAAGTTTTCCGTTCTGTTTTCATTTGAAGGTGACATTTATATTCATTCTCCCTATATACAAAAAGGAATTTATTCCCTGGAGTTGACATTTTTTTCCATTTTAAATGAATCCAAGTCATAAACTTTCTTTATGGAACATATATTCAGTTTTTAAAAATCTCGATCTTTGCCTTCTCTGTATTCTTTCTAATTTTCCCATTTTCCTCTAAAAAAAAATGGAAACTGCCATTAGAAATAATACCCTGCTAAGGGCCTGATACTTACTGAAATGATGGAGTTGAGATGAGTATTGTCTCCACGATGCCATATTTAGCAGCGCAGCCCCGCGTCACGTCAGTGGTCCCGCACACGCCCTGCATCGCGCTGACTGAGTCATGCTGTAAATGTGTTCTCCTGATTTACTTTCCTATACGTGCTTCATCCATCTTTGGACTGCAGTTATGTGTTCTAAGTGCATCACTCTATAAATGACTGAATGCCATATTGTGTTCTTTTGACAGTATGGCATTCTTAAAAATCAGTGTGGTCTAGCCTTTCTCTGCAAGAACACAAAACCTAGAAACTATGAAAAGAAATCAGTAAATGGGACCATGTAAATTTTCAAATTTCTGTGTTAAAAAAATGTCATAAACTCAATGACAGACTGAGAAAAGTATTTGCAACAAAGATGACAAAAAGGCTAATATCCTAAACACAGAAAAAGTGTCTGAGTCACCAAAGACAGTGCTGCAGTACGGTAGACAAATGCATAAAGGATATTTACAGAAAAGACAGGACAGATGGCTTTTAAACGTTTTAAAAGATGGTCATTCTCACTCATAAGCAAATACAAATTTAAACTGTATTCACATATTTTTCACTTGTCAGGTCGTGAAGTTTGATACTACACTGTACTGGCACTTTCACACGCCGTTGATGTAAATGTGTATTGACATGACCTCTTTGGAGCCCAGTTGGGCAATATCTCTCAAAATTTGTAAATGTACATAACCTTTGACCCAGCAGTTCTAAGAATTTATTCTGCAGGTGGTGTACTTGCCCTGGGCAAGTCTGTACAAGGAAGCAGTAAAATACTCATGGCAGCGCTGCCTAGAATTCTAAAAGAATAAAAATGACCTACACTCTCATCAACAGGAAACCAGCTCAATGATAGAATATCTGTGCAGGGGAAAGTTTACAGCTGTTAAGAGGAATAAAGTAGAACTACTATGGAGCAATTTCTAATGTAGCACTTAGCTGAAAAGTCTGTATAGTACTTTATTATTTTGTAAATGAAAGGAGGGAGGAAATGTATGCATATATTCTCATTTACAATATTTAAAGAAATATACTTAGAAACTGGAAATAGTGGTTGTTTCTGGAAAGAGGGCTATGGAATTAAAGACGGTGATGGGAAGGCTCCTTTATGCTCTATACTGTTAGGTTTTGGGTTTTTGTTGTTTTTTTGTACTGTTAGTTTTTCTACTAGGTGTATATTCCATTATTAATTTTAATCAATTCCAATTAGTATTTAAATATTATTTTTTGTTAGACTTTCCTTACTATGATCTATCATCTTTTTATCAGCCCCGCAATGTGCTGGCTTACGCTTGGATTGTGTTTTACCAGTTTTTAAACTTTTAACTAGATGTTCTTCATCCCTCTGTGAAATACGTTTTGGAATAATAAGTCTATCACTGAGCTATGGAATGTCATATTTGACACGCATATCTAGTGTGATGCATTTTAAAGTCTCAAAAGTAAAATACAAATGAACACAAAAAGTGACCTCTTACAAGAACCCTTCTAATAAGATTATTTTTAAAAAGTGTAAGTTGTGATGTATTGTACTTTGTATTCGTCTGAGATTTTTCCATAGAAAAAGTAACTACTTACTGATTGTTTATTTTAATTGCAGCTCAGTGCGATTACAGTGCAGAGAAGAAAAGCAGCCTCCATGATGAATCTGGAAAATATTTAAAAATACTCATAGTTCACTCACAGAACTTTAGAGTTGGAAAGCAGTGTATTGAAACAGTAAAACGTGCAGAGAATGGTTAAAGCTTGTGTCACTTTGCATAAGCATTCTCCATTCTGTTTTGAGGGTTATTGGAAAACAGAACAGTGACAGCTTCCTGTAAGTAAATACCCTATATTGAGCTTCAGTAGAGAATAAAGCCAGCTGAGAAGAATTCATTGCCTTCATCAGTGTGTCTATTTTTTAATTCCCCCTTTTTCCTCTGGAAGAGCATAATAATTTTCAAGCTATGATGATCATGAGAAAGATTTTAAGGAAATGCTAGAATTTTAATATTTCAGGTTCCAAGATTTGAGAATTTTATGTCTAATTGTTACTCATCATTTTTAAGGTTTCCAAGTGTCCATTTTATTATGAACCCATAAATGTAATAAATTGTGCACTTTCTAAAATGATGCTGTCATGTATTTTAATGTATAACTGTAGTGATTTGTTTTCAACTTAGATGATTTCCAGTATCCATCAAATACTGATATTCAAGAATTTGAAAGGTTTTGGGTTTTTCGTTTGGTTTGGTTTTGTCGCTGCTCATTGCGGTGCTAATCGAATGGAACCTAAGTTCTGAGAATGCGTGGGCGTTGACCTCTTGCCGTCCTGTCGACTTTCATAGGCCCATGTGGTTAGTCAGTCTCTGCCCCTGGCTCAAACTTGGTGAAGCTGCTTTCTGGTGATCAGAACAGATAGGTTTGCATCTGGGTGACAAGTTAGGAGACTGTGGCGGTAGTTCCAGGTGAGAGATAATGAATTGAACTTGAGGTGACACGGAAACATTTGTGTGTAAATATTCAGCCAGCAGTCTGATGTTCGGGACTGATGCTGACAAACTGGGACAGTCGTGGGGCCTTTGGCGTGGAGCTGAGAGCTGAAGCCTGGGGTGGAGGAGCTTGCCTTGGCCCTGTGCGAGGTGGCCAGCTCCCTCCTCCCCTGCATTTCCGTGCTGCCGCCCTGACGGTGCCTTCCTTAACGTCGTCAGCAGTCGATCCTTCCTCCCCGGGGCACAGGGCTCCGCTCGTACCCCGACACGCACACGCTCTCCACATCGCTCGTACCCCGACACGCACACGCTCTCCACATCGCTCGTACCCCGACACGCACACGCTCTCCACTTCACCCCCCAGACGTCGCCGCCCCCGAGAGCCGTCCTTCACCTCCGGGCTGCACTGGCCGCCGTGCTGGATCGCTCTGCATAGTGCGCTGTGTGTTCCTTCAGAGCTCTTACCAAAATTTGCGGTTAACTCTTTGAATTTTTTTTCTTTAATGTCACCTCCTCCCCGACAGGCTGCAAGCTGTTTGAGAGCAGAGCTCATGCTGCCGCCATCCTCCTCATAGTCTTAGCACTCAGCAGACGTGTTCAGTCACGGTCCAAACACCGAAAGTGAGGTTTTGAGGACAGGTCCTTAGAAAGTGTCTTCATTTGTTGAATGAGCTCAGGAAGAGGCGTCATCGAAGGAGACGGAACAGGAGCGGTGAGGGGGCTGTTCCCAGGGGAATCCAGTGCCATCTAAAGGAGTGCGGACACCGGACCTGTCAGCAGGAGGGCAGCCGGTGCGAGTGTCAAGTGCGACCATGAGGCCAGTAGCGCCGATGTGACGACGGTTCGATGGTGATTAGACGGGAGTTCTTAGCTTATTTCCATTTCTTAAAGAATTTCCCTTTTGATTCTCTAATGTCAATCCCTTCCCATATTATTCACAGACTAATTTTAATTACTTTTAATTAGGGATGTTAGAATTCTGTCTGAAAAAGAAAAGAGACTGTCGGAAAAAGCACTTCAGAAACTAACATTCTAGACAAATAGAATGTAAGTATTATTATCTTTTTTCAAAAAGAAAATCTGACTTCCCAGACTCGTTTATTTGAGGCAGAATCTTTCAACGTGAGCACTTTCTCCACGCTTTGGCCGTGGGCATGTACTCTTTACATTCTGGTATCAATCGCCACCTCTTGAAGTCTTCTCGAATACTTAGGTGGCCTCCACAAAGGATAGGCTACTGAAGTGCAGATACCAGGCCTTTCTGACCTGTCCTCAGCAACAGAACTGGGCAGGCATGGTGGTTTTTCTTTCAGAAAAATTTGTTAGCTAATGATTTCTTAATGTAAAAATGTAGTGAAGTTCTTGATATTTCTCATCTTGGTCAGTCTTGACTTCATTCACACAGTAAGCATCATTTATTCTGTGAACTGTATCTTAGGAGACAGGGTAAATGATTAGGAAAAAGGAAAAAAAAGAAATTATGTAAATCTGAAATTAGGGACAACATAGCTAGTTCATTTTATTTATTCATGTTTCTCTATGGTAAAGAAAAGAGATGTGATCACCCCTCCTCCCTTCATATACAGACACGCACACTGGAGCAGCCAACCGTTTGCTAATTCCCCCCGTGTGTGAGCTCCAGAGATGGGAGAGCCTGGCCACAAGTCAGTCACTCGTTTGCTCGGCAAATAGCTGCAGGCCGCCAAGCCAGTTCTCAGACAAGCCAAGGAAGAGTGAGAAACACTTTAAGCATTTTACTATAAAGTCTGTACCTTAACCATGATGTTTTATCAATTTTTCCATGATAAAAAATCTGTAATGAACTTTTTTACACTTTATCAAAAATAATGGTTAATTTTTTGGTTTACTTAAAAAAGAATATAAACATGTAGACACGTATGCAGAGCGAAGGAGACAGGCACTATCGTCCCTTACACTTGGTCTGGTGACCACTCGGACCTGCAGCGTTACATCTTCATTAAGATGAGTGTTCTCAGTGTAACGGCCAAAATTATCGTTGTCTTCATTTTATCCATATTCAGCATCTATCTGCTGAGTTTGTGTCACGTGCCTGTACTTTACTAGGGTCTGGGAAAAAAAAAAAAACAATGCCCATAAGTACTGCATCTAAATACAGTAATTGCAATAAAATGAGTTAATAACAACAATAAAAACAAATCTGTCCCTCACCAGCCCTTAAAGTTTATAAAAATGTGTGGCTTTTGGGACAGTAGCGATGCTCTTAGTATCTAAATAAGTAGGGACTAAATAAATGTGCACATACTTAGATAACAAAAATCATAGGACGGAAATGCATCTTTAAAGTAATTCGTTATAACATTGCACCCACCAACCTAGAAAAAATCTGCACTAAGCATCCTTCCAGCCCAAGAGTACACCACAGAATGCCCCAACGGTCCCCACTCCTGTAAACGCCCCCAGTGTACTAGCTGTAACCCCGCTCTGGTTTCTGCCACTCAGACAGTATATTGGAGCGGGCAAACGAGAATAACAGTTGAGAGATAACTCTGAATCCGTTCTAGTTTATTTCTTTGTAAATACACATTCTTAAAGTTCACAGCTACTGAAATTCACTGCAGGGGCAGCTTACTCTCCCCTGAGCTGGCCCAACCCACTTTCCAGCAGCTTCAACTATTAGAAAGTTCTTCCTTACGTTGAACTGAAATGCATCTCCCTGCCTTAGTTCTACCTTGTGCAAAAGAGTAAAACCATCTACTACATATGGCAGGTCTCCAGCCTTTTGAAAATAATTAGCATGTTCTCCCTGCACTTAGTAAACATCAGAGGACTTGGTTTTGAGTCCTTGCACCAACCAGTCTCTGGTCTCTAAATGCACCCCAATTTGCATATATCATACCACCGTCACTCATTCAGTAAGTATTTATTGAGCACCTGCTTTACACCAGGTATGCTTGGGATGCATGAATCTTATTCCCAGAACCAGACATATATTCTTTGTTCTAGATCGTAACTGAGAGGTGTGAGGAGAGGGTGACATCAGCCTAAGTGTGGGGGAGCACCGTAGACTCTCCAGGGGGTACATATGGCTTTAAACTACATACCCTTCCCTTCTCCCCCCACCCCAAGAGTCTGACACATTCTCTTAGGGAAGCATGCTTTGAGAGTTACTGTAGTTAGTGGTTCATGGAAATGTACACAAAGTTTCTCTTTAGTATTTAAAATTAGAAAACATGAGAATTATTGTTCTAGAGTCTTTCATTAATGCAGTTTAAAATTCTGCTGGCTTTTTTTGGAAGTTGAATCACACTTCTGCTAGATACTGAGCATATTGTTGACTAAAATCCTAAGTCTCGTCCAAAGGTTTGTTGCTAAGCCGTGTCTTTGCCCCAGAAGCCGGACTGCTCACTTACCCCTTTTAAATTTATTTCTGTTAATACAGTGCACTGAGGTCACTTTAGCTCCTAATTCTGTCATCCAATTTGTTACCTGTTAAGAATAGGGACTGTTTCTGCTTTGTTTTACTGCTATATTTCTTGCACCGATGACAGTTTTTTACTTACGATGAATGTCATCTACAGATTTGGTAAACATGCCACTTGTTTTTGTTGAAGTCATTGAAAAGGTCAGAACTAAATAGAGCTGAGTACAGTCAGTCTCTTAAAGCATACCAACCGCCGACTCCTGTAACGGTAGCTAAGAAGGACCCGTGAGGCGTGGTCATTCAGCCCGTTTTCAATCTGGCCCATATTACTGCTTCTACACTATCATAAAGACATCAAGAAAGAGCCATCCTTCTGCCTAGCTAAAATTCATTATTGCCACAACTGTCATACTTTTCAGACCTAATCCAGTAATCCTGTCCAAGAAGAAAGTTAGACAGATGGATTTCTTCTAAGTAAATCCATGCAGCATCCTAGTAAACACTGCTTGTTCCTTTTATGTTTTTCTTTAAACCCTTTAAGCCCTTTAATATGGCATCATGGAAATTTTCATTCAATATTTTCATCCTTTTTTTTTTTCAAAGAATAAAAAGCCATCAGAGCATAATGTGATGTATAAGGAAATCTGTTAGCACTTAGATCTGTGAAGATTAAAAATATGAGACTAGCATCTTCTTTCATATAAACTATAGGGGAAAAAGAATGAGAGAAGTTATAATCACATTTCTACAAATAACCAAAAGAATCCGTTAGAGACTCTCTCCCTGGATCTACGGTAAACATGCCGCTCTGTATTAATGCCTAGCGATTGAGCATCTGTCATATGTAAGGCATTCAGTAGCATTTTTCATTTATCATCTCATGATCCAACAACCCTGCTAGGTAGAGACTATCATTCCCTTTCCAAAGATAGAAGACAAACAATGTGCTCAGGGTCACAGAGCGCAAAGTGGCACCGCGGGCTTTCAGGTCTGTCATACAAGGACTTGGCACGTCTTACACTTCAGGTGACTCTCACCAGCATCCATGCCGTCCTTTTCAGCTCAAGGATCTGTGTTCTTGGTGGCAAATACAGATGCAAAATAGGATTTGAAAAAACCTTACTTCCACTTTTTCATTCATCAACCTTATTTTTAACAAGTCTGAGCAGCTATGAGCCCCCCCCCTTTTTTGCCTTTTCTGACCCCAATTCTAACCCCAAAAGCCCTTTTAGTGGTCAAATTATATGCATTACATAGAAAACTTTCTAGGCCTGAGAAAAACATCTTCATATGTAGTGGGCTTTTTTTGGTCCTTGAAAAGAAATTGGCCATAACCTGAAGAGTCAGGTAACTAGTGGTAAATATAGATCTAAGCTACGGAAGTTCTCATAGTTAGTGGTCTGCCTCCTTTGGAGGTTTCCGGATGTCTTTAATGGGCGGTGAAATTTTAACCAAAAAATACCTACTAAATATCTACCCCCAAAATCATAATATATGTTAACTTGTGTTTAGCTAATTTGTAAAGCGGTCGATACAATGTTGTATGATTTCCTGTGTCAAAATTTAGGACTTGGGACTAGTCCATTTAGTGGGTAAAATGACCATAATTAACCCATAATCATAAATGCACTACTTAACATCCAGCCATATATAAGCCAAGTGGCAGTGGGAACATCAGGAGACATCACTGTTAAGTAGGGGTGACAGTGCATAGTGCTTTTTTATCTTTGCTATTTAATTTGGGAAATAAGTCATTACTTGACTTACTCGTGAAAATGAACCAGGTTTTTTATTTATGTCACAGAAATGCTGATTTGAGGATTTCGCATAGCATAGCTTTAAAGTCTTAAGACATTATTCCTAATTCTTGATTCATCCAGAAACTCTGCGATTTTAAATAACTCTCTAACTTTCCAAGCAGTGTGTGAGGATATAGACAATGGCTATTCAGTCCCCGATAACAATGCTATTTTCTTTGCTCACATACGCATATATTTTATCTGTAAATACAGGTTTGTGCGTGCTACATAAATGTATATGACACTAATTCCATTTTCCCTAGATGGCAGGGACTGACCACAAGCTGACCGTATTACTCATTATCCATTAGGTTATGCTCACAGTCATCCAGCTAGTACATTAACATAATGCAGTGAGCCAAGCCTAATAGCTTTACTTTATAGAAATTCATTAACCTAAAATTCACGTGTATAATACTCAGTGCACTCAAAAACACATGCACTACTTTACGTGAACTGTTGCTTTATTCTGAGAGGCATTAGAGCCCGGGGCTCCATCACACTGGGTGGGATTGACTCCCAGCTCTACCATTGACTGAACTCGAGCAAAAATAACTTAAATTTTTGTTCCCGTTTCCTCATCTGCAAATTAGATAATAGTGCCTCACATGTCGTGAGGTTTAAACAATTTAATATGCATGGAATACAGACCAGTGCCTGCCATATGACAAGCCCTTTGTGATTATCTGGAAAAGTCTGGAGGTTCCCCTGAAGGCTATGTGGGATGACAAAATCAGCTTTTAATTGCATAAGTTATCACCATGGAGATAGCGTTGGCAAGGTTGCTGCTAATTGGGTGGGAGGAGGGATTCATTTCAGCAAGACTTGATTCAAGGAAACAAGATAAAAGGCTGCTGCAATAATCTAGACAAGAAATAAGGAGGCTTGAACTATATGGCAAGTGGCAGTGAGATTAAGAGACGTGAAAAATACTGGAGAGATGTTAAGTGCAGTACACAGACCCACATCACCGTTTGGCTATGGGAGTTGAAGGACGGACTCAGCAAGGACTGCTGGATTTCAGGCTTAGGTGACATTCTCTAAGGCAGAATATAGGAAAGGATGAGTTCCCACATCTCAAGCATCTGCACGCACCCCAGAGGAAATGGCCAATAAGCAGTCCATGAGACCTCAGGAAAAGCTGGATTGCACAGGTAGCAAAAGCAGCAGCGAAGAGAATAGCCGAAGTCAAGGAAGTAGATAACGTATTGTGTTCTTTATCCTCTTCCAATAACCAGGCAGCCAAAGCTCTTATTCTGCCCCAGACTAGAACACATCACCTAATGCAATTCTGAGCATTAAAGAGAAATCACACTGAAGACTGCAACCTTGAAGGTAATTGAGAAGTTTGCTGCAGATGGCTAATGTTTCAAAGGTAGAAACCGTTTTCTGCGTGATCTGGGTAAAAAACATGAACATGAGTCCCTGGTGCCACATTTCCCATCACATATTGCAGAATTGCCGACGATAAGCCCTTCCTTTGGTTCCTGGGGACTTAATTTCCCTAGGGAACTATTGTGGTTATTCAACTTTAAGACCTTGTAGGAAGAATCACAGTTATTTCTCCCTGGGGTCTTACTCTGAGCAAGCAACATGGAAGTAAATAGTCACTAAGGAGGAACAAGGAGAAATAAACAAGCTTTTAACCAAATGTATGAACAATCCATGTAAAAAGAAAAACAACAGGTGTGCCAAAATTTTTACAAAAATTATAAACTAGGGACAGTAGTACTGTCCTGCTGTAGCTGCTGGTCGTCGTAATCCGCGAGAACACAGGACGCACACCCACCTTGCTGTCCCCAACGCAGAGAGGCGCATTTCATCACGTGCTGCGTTCTGCATGCAGTGACCGAATACTGTTTCAGGCAGGGAGAACACCAAGCTAGAAACCGGAACTAGGGCTTAGGCCCAGTTCTGCCACTGCCTAATGCCGTGATCTTGGACAAGTCTTCTTTGTTGAATGCAGATTGGCCCTAGCGTTCCAGAATTTTGTGATCCAAAGAATGCATTTAATGAAACTGCTCTTTAAAAAAAAAAAAAAATTATTTTTGAAGAGCCTTACATATACATTCGGAGCCTTAATCATTCAGGAATGACTTTTGCCTCAGAAGGCTCATCGGTCAACGTAATATTGGAGAAATGTCTCATTCCTAATCATAAAAATAGCCTACCATCTACTAATGCCTACTTCATGCCTGCATGAGATGCTCCGTGAGCTCGCTTTAAATGTCACTGTGAACCCAGCGAAACGCTAGGATGTCATCAGAAGGGAGACCGAGGCTTCTAAAGGCGAGGTGATTTGCCAGGAAAACTATATCGTTCAGCCTTTAAACCTGGGTCTCTCTGACCCTAAAATGTTAAGTTGCCTCAACAACTGTTGTATTGGGATCTACATCGTATTCTGGAAAGAACTGCAGGCAGGGAAGACAGAAATTGCAGCACCTTCCAGGGTCTCCCCGCTGGAGTTGACCAGAGAGCAGCCCGGGGCTCTGTGTCACGTTCCCTACAGTTCGCATTTGTCATCTGAACTGTGACGTGGCCGATGTTCACCGACTGAGGACCGCTATGCACTGTCAAACACTTAGCAAAGGCAGATTTCAAAAGACACTGAAAATGTATTGCAAAAATGTACAGCTTTATTCACATACAGACAAAAAGGCACAAATTCTACTAAATAGTTCAACAAAAAAATACAGCTGTCCTCGACTAGTTTTATAAATACTTTCAAAAAGGGGGTAGAAATAAATACAGGATTGGGCCATGTCATATAAAATAGTCATCTCTACATATACTTTGTTTAATTTCTGATTTTTAACTCTTCATGCACCTTTTTTTTTTTTCAATTTTAGCTGAATGGACACCAAGCTAGGCACATAGTGAAAAATCCTCTGTACAAGGTTACAAATGTAATGACGTTTGTCCATTTCAAAATAATTAAGATTTGTACACAACACATATAACCTTCATTTAGATTTTGTTTATAACCTAACAAATGACATTCCAGGCAACTTTACAAAAGTTTAACTAGCCTACATTTTGACATAATACATTGATCATAATCAAAGATATTTCTTGGTCAGGATGCACAAGGAAAGATAAAGCTTAGGGGAAAAAAAAAAAAAAAGAGCAAATGGTTCCATACTAATCGAGTGCAAGTGGGTAGGTCGGGTGGGTGGCTGCTTACAATGGCCTCCTAGGGGGTTCCCAGCAGGACAGGAAACTAACTCACAAAGCTATCATTATACTGTCAGAGAAACCGTGCTCTATACCATTTGCATTTCAAAGTAGGAAGAAAAAGTGTGGGCTTTTTTGTGTTTTTTTGTTTTTGTGTGGGTTTTTTATTTTTTGTTTTGTTTTTCTTTTTTTTTTTTTTTTGGTTCAGCATAACTTGGAACGCTTGAAAGCTTTTCAACCTAAATGTGGGGGAAAAACAGGTAAGGCATTATTTTTGCACAAAACTAGCATTCCTAATAGTGCAAATGAATCTGGTACCTCTTAAAATGGTGAGAGGCCAAACACTTACTAGGATTAATTTAGATTTTCTCTCTATGGCTTGACAGATTATCCCTCTATCTCTTCTACTCTCACCCATAGCTGCTGCCGTAGTCAAAGACAGAGTCCACCTTCTTCTGTATTCAGCAAAAGGTTTTTTGCTCATATGCGAAAAATCTGACTTTTAATAAATTAGGCTATGAGTGAATGTACAACTTGGATTCATAAGAAACTTCTAATATCTGTAGCAACAGCTTATCTGGACAGCAGTCTTTCAAAATGAGCCCCAAAGCTCAAAAATAGTCAATCTAAAAACCTGGGTCATCCTTTCCCCTCCCCTGAATTAGCTACTAAAATGTATTCAAAAAGTTAAGACTTGGTTTGGAAATGTCATACATACAATGGGGATGCATCAGATCTATTATTCGATCATCTGATAAAACTTGCATAGCAAGATGGAATTCAATAAGCCTTTTTTGCTGTCGACATCTGGAAGACTTGAAAGTTAACTACAGAACTCAAAGCATTATTCATTACGGATCGGAATGTCCCTGCCACATGGAAACAGATGCATAAATGAACCAGGAATCCGATGTTAACTGATATTAACAAACTAAGGGGCAGTTTAAAGGAAGCTGGGCTGTTCCAAGTACCCATAATTCTAAATCTCACTGCTATTTAAACTTTCCTTCTCGTAAATTTGATTCACAAGTACACTGAATTCCAAAGAAAATTAACAGGACCTTAACACTATCCACTGTCTTAATACATGTGCACTGCTGTGAGTGCAAAAACAGAACATTGTACTCAAATTTAATGCTAAATTTATTATTGCTGATAACTTACTAGTTATTGCCATTTGCAATTAGAAAGTCCAAGTTACGAATTAGAGCCTAGAACTCTGACTCCAGAAAACCTATTACATGTCAATCTCTTTCCTGTATAAACTTGGTCAATGGTAAGAGGTTATCGCAACTTACTGCCTTTCTATCGTTTTTAAAATATAACCTATTTCGCGCTTTTTTTTTTCCTTTTTTTCTTTTTTCCTTTTTCTTAAGGAATCCGTTCATGCTGGAAGCCCGGATTCCCCAACATATGCACTAGTGGTTGGCTCTGGGAAATATGACCCACCAGAGTCTGGCAGTTCATCGCTTGGACTTGAATAGCCATTGTCTTGTTGGAAGCCAGATGGCCAGTTATTGCCAGTGGCCAGGTAAATCCCAAGCTGGCCCAAGAGGCAGTGGTTAGGGAAGAGGAAGGTCAGAGGACTGGTAAAAAAATGGGACCTCAACTGCCCTTTCTCAGAGACAGACCCTTCTAATGGCCTCACCTCCACCAGTCCTGAACCCACAGCGTTCCATGGCTGCGGGCAGCAAGACGCTGCTGCACTCACCCCGAACCTCCACGCTACAGCAGATCTTCCCGTGAGGACCCTTCTTTATTTTAAATTCTCTCTTCCCCATCGGGTGTATTTACACACGAATTCCCTAGAGTTCCTGAAGCTTCAGAGCTGACGCCTATATACTATAATGCAACAAAAACAGCCCTGTGGGCCAAAGTATAAATATGATTTCAAGATCTACCACAGTCCTAGAAAACAGGTTTTATGGGCTATTAAACGGTGTGCGAGGCTTTCCCAGCAACCATGTCCGATTCCGTCTATTCAGGTAACCAAGAGGTTTGTGCTTTGGGGAGAACACAGAGGGCCATAAAGACTCGTGAGGCTTATTTAAGCCTCGCCCTCTTGAGAGGCTCATTCCATTCATCCTTGTTTTAGTGTTTAACTCAGCTCCTGGTCTTAGCAGTGTGTGACGGTTACAATCGACTCTTGTGTTTCCTCAACAAGTTGCGAATAACACTTCTCAACAACAATTTATAAATGCCGGAAAAAAAAAATTCAGTCTGAATTGCAAGTAAACGTGTGTGTGTGTGTGCAGCTCAGGAGAGCTGGGTTTCCGCGTGTCCCTGTGTCAGAGCGCTCGCGGCAACTCGGTGACAAGCCGCAGCGCCACCTCGGTGTCATCAGGAGGCCAGGATGCTTCTCCTGATGATGTCTGTCCTCCTGCCGATAGAGCTGCTGGCGTGCGTGCATTTCTTCTCTGGCGCCTCGCTCTCGGAGTCACTCATCTCTACGTCAGGGACGTAGCCGTCATTCTCGCTGTCAGGTTTTAATTTGCTTTTCGCCCTTTCCTTGGCTGCAGCTCGGCCGGAGCCCAGGTAGGGGCGCTCGGGGTGCTGGTGGCAGGCCCCCCCACAGGCCTCGCCCTGCTGCTGCCGGTCCCCCTTCTTTGGAATCCGGAACCCTCCCCAGTTTTTCACCGGGCTGGCAGGTGTGGTAGGCACTTTGACTGCGGTCTGGTCACAGTTCCCCTTGCTGAGGGAGCCGTTGCACCTGGGCGCCGGCTCCTTCCTGGCACCAGGTGCCGGCTGCCCCGCCCCAGGGGAGGCGGCTGCTCTGCTGGCGTCCAGATGCCTCTGGGACACATCTGTGGGCCTGAGAGGCTTGTGACTCTGTCTGAAAGGTCTGTCCTTCACGTCCCCCTTGCTGAGATCACAATGAAAACGATGGTCTCCCCTGCTCCCGGGGTCCGGTGTCACACCATTTTTCTGCTGTGCTGACATGAGGCGCGCTTCTGCGAAGGTCTTTTCGAAGCTCAGAAAGCTCTCTGGGACTCCCGCGCCCTCCCGGCGCCCGCACAGGTCGGGCTGCTTCAGCAGGGCTTTGCCTTCACTCCCAGCGCTGCTCTGCGATGCGTCTCGCTTATGGGGCTTTTTCAGTGAATGGACCAAGGAAGGACCCATCTGCTTCCGGAAGAATGCAGAATGCCACTTCAGGTCCTCTATCTTGGGGGCATCGGGGCCCACAGAAGGACTGTTGAACAAGAGCATGCTTCCCAGGGAGGAGGAGCAGGAAGAAGGCACACCTGTGAACAACCACAAACACAGAAACGTGACAGTGAGTCCAGAAGAATGCCATTCCAGACCCTCCGCATGGCCTGTTAATGCGCACTTCCCACCCCACGAAGAGCCTGCCACCGCCCGCTTTCCGAAACTGGGTTTTAGAGCAAAGATATTATCTGCCTCGAGAATCTGTGTTCAATTACATACTCAATTTAGTAGCTGTATTTTCTGAAACAGCCGAAGTTCACGGAATTTCTCATGAAACGTCTTTTCGAGGAATATATTTTCCTTACAACAAAATAAGTGACGTGTTCTCCCAGGGGAATGCACGCGGCGTGGTCTGGTGGCCAGGCCCGGCCGCCCCCCTCACTCGGTTCCAGAGCAGCACTTGCTCCAGGTGCTACAGTCACCGGCCGGTCACCTGCCTCCTCGACCAAAGGCAGAGACTGCAGCGTTTCAGTGTCTTTCCCCGAAGCATCTGCACCCTCACGGGGCGATGAGGATAAACGCATGTGATGAGCACACGACATGGATGACGGAAGGTGCGTGCGATCATTCCTGACACACAGGCAGCGTTTAAAGACATGTTTACTGTTACATGCAAAACCCATTTGTGGAATTAAACTAAATTGTCATCCAACAGGAAGATACGCTAAATTGGTGTTTTTTAAACATTTCTGATGCAAATCACAGTAAGAACTGAAATTTCACGTCACCTAATAAAACTCACTTAACACGAACTCAGCCTTCGTCATCTGGTAAACACTGTGACATTTTTCTGTTTCACTTGTTTTTAATGCTGGTAACGACCTGAATTCCCACGGCCACAGCTAAATCGCAGCCCTAGGTTCGGGGCCGTGAGGAGGGCCGTGCTCCGGCCAGCGCCTCGGCAGAACCCAGAGGGCAGTTTCCATGTGTGTCTCACGGAAGGCGTGGGCCACCAGGAAAACAAGGGTCCGCCCAGCATCCCAGGCAGGACGTACCGCTCAGCGGACACGACGCGGCACGGACACGGAGCGAGCCAGCGACTCCAGACATGAGACGGGCACAGCCAAGGGGCGGCTGTCTCCCGGCCTGGCCGCTCAGAGGCCCCGGCTTTGCCAGGATCGAGCGTGAGGGTCCGCCTCCTGCCACGCTCGCGTTTGTTTTACTCGATTACAAAGTGCGGGAGAACACAGCTCAGAGGGGCTGACATCCTGACACTTATTTCTATCTACTTGGCTTGGGATCCACGTCTCCAAAGAGTCTCTGACTCGCAGACCCCTCCTATAAGCACAGCCTCCACTGAGGACTCTCATCCAGCAGAATGGCCCTGCCCGTTCTCAGAATCACAGAGCAGAGCTTAAACCATGGACCCTGAGTGACCCCTCTACGTCGTGGCCATCTGCCCTGCTTCACCTGGAATCATCCATCTACAAGGCAGGGGGCTGACCTGCACAAACGAGAACACCACTGACAGTCTAACACTGGAGAAGGCACACCGGACCACCCGACAGGGTCTGCACGGCGGTCCCTGTGGCATCCCGTGGGAAGGGTCATGTGGCTCCCGTCTCTCAGGGGAGGGAGGGCTTGTCTTCCTCCTCCGAAGCAGCAGCAGGACTTGTGACGGTCTGCGTTTCAGCCGTCACACAAAACACTCCCTCACCTTGCTCAGTCTCGATCATTTACCCAAGGAAAAACCTCAGCCATGAAACGCAGAATAATATCCTGCCTGCAATATCCGTGAAAAATGACTCCAGTGAAGTCAGATGCGAATGCTCTTTACAGCTTATGCTTATAGGCAATCACTCGGCACACGAAGACTTAGCGAGTGTCTCAGAAAGCCTCCAGGGTCAAAACTCCTGCATTCGTGGCCCGGGGTGTGGGCTGGAGGCTGGGGGAGCTGCACCAGACAGCCCTCCTCCTCACCTGTCCATGCAAGGATGTGAAGGCCGGGGATGAGAGGCGAAGTGCCCTTTCCAGAATCTGAGTGAAACTGCTGTCACTTATGATACCCTACTTATAAAAATTTACTTTAAAAGTCTCACAGCTACACTCTAGCCAATGATATAAGCTTGATACATCCAAGAAATATTTCCTCTTGGGAAAAAATGTCTCAGGTATTAATAAGATGATGCCATTAAAACTCTATTACTTTGAGAATGCCATTTAATATTCCCTAGGCTTTTTTCTCTTTGTTCAAGTGACCCATTTATAGCAAGTCTTCATTTAGCATTATTGACAGGTTCTACAAATTTAGGCAAAACAACATATAACAAAACCAGTTTAACTAGAGGCTAATTAATATAAACAAGAATTAAGTTCCTATGGCACCTCAATGTTATAATGAAATCATATTGAATAAAATGACGTTATTCAAGGACCTGCTGTCCCTCTAGTCACACATCTCTGGTTAGTGTTAGTAAACCAGAATTTGGATTTCAACGTAATAGGTTATAACAACATATTGTTTCTATGGGGTCATAAGAAGCTACAGTAACAAAAAGCCACAAAAGCAGAAAAATGAAAGAGCGAGCCGGCCGCGACTCTACAACGCAAGCACGTCGAGTGCGGCTGCTGTCACTCGAGAGCCGACGGGCCGCGGGGCCGAGCTGACCGCGGGGCCGAGCCGACGTAAGGACCACCTGCTCCGTGAGTCCGCGACTCCGCCTGACCCACACTCAGCGGATCTCCTGCCTAAATGCCCCAACGCCTGCTTTCCATGGCTGCCGATGACAGATGCAACTGCTTCTCTGGACCAAAACCCTTTCTCAGGTCCACAGAGCCCCAGAGCTATGAAGCCACTTGCCAGACTTTGCTCTTGACCTCCAAGTAACTGCGTGTTTTTCCTCCTCTCTTTGCTTAGCCTGGAGCAATGTGAAATGGCGCTAAGTAAATGAATGCTCGGTGCTGACTCTCCAAAGTATTCAAAATTCCACCTACACCAGTGAAGTCCAGAGAATGGAATCCAAATGCGGACATGCGCCTCAAGGATGCAGTCTTACGATCTGTGGCCCATGTCACATGGACCCAAGGCTGGATCGTCTAAGTGCTTTTAGGTGTCCCCTGGTACTTTGCGTTTACTAAGGCTTTGCAGTGCAGAAGCTGCTCTTTCATTTGGGCCTCGCAGCCGGTCCTAAGAGGTAGCTTGAGGTGTCACCCTCAAGTTACATATGAGAAAACAAGGAGGACTTGGGGATCTCGAGACATGCTTGTGTCGGCCTGGAAGTAGATTCAGGTTATAGGATTCAACCCAAATTTGAGGCCAAATTTTAGCCCTTTTCCTTATACAATGATGCCTCAAATGCCTATAGATTTCTTTAAATATGAAAGTCTGTGCTTAGATTCTTCTGTAGGATAAAAGAAAATTAGACCATTATTTCTTTCCTTAACGGAGCGTTAAGGCTTACAAACCTCTGCCCTACTGTTTGACCTACCCGGGCTTAATGCATACCTGAAACTCTTTCTTGCTCCAAGAGCTTAGTGTAAAGATTGAATATCTGTTCCTGGATTTTGCACACAGATCGCTTAATCTTTTCCCTGCGGGTCACCATGTAAGTGAGGTTCCGAACCTAGAATGTAGAGAATAAAGATTCTAAGTGAGCAATACATTGTTACAGTACTTTGTGTTCTTTTTTTTTTTACCTGAGAAAAATTGTCCTGTTAGGGCCTTGATTGACATTTGAAATCAAATGCACTTTAAACATTTTATTCAATCTCTAACCTCCCTTGGGCTGCTAACAGAGACTCTGCATAGACCCCTCAATGTAGGCTGTGAGAGCAACACCTGCGGAACTCACACAAAAGCCCTGCCTCCTCCACCACACCCAGCCTCGGGCTCGTCCCAGTGGAGAAGACAAGGCCTTTGGTGGCCGGTGGCCAAGTCCAGACCTGCTACCTCTCTGCCAAAGGACTCCGCTTATCACCCGTCGGGACCTTCCTCCATGAATGGGATCGTCTGGGAGTTTAGAGTAGTTCAGAAGCTACCTGGGCTGCACTTTATCGAGCATCTTCTCATAGAACCAGGTAAGAACAGGGTCCAAGGCTGAGAATGAGCCACCCAAAAAAGTCCCTGCACCGGACCTGCTAGAAGACCTAATGGTCACCAAGAATCCAAGTCATCTTGTCAGCTGGACACGGAACTCTCTGGACTCCTGGAGCGAACAGGTAGCAAGTGTTCCTACACAACGGGACGTCTAGGGGCCTCACTCTCGCTTTGCCGTGGATTTGCTACCCCGACATCTCTCTGCATCACTTGAAAGATGGTGCCACCTTCTTCCTGATTCATTCGTAAGTCACTGAAAAGACCCAAGTGCTAAGAGCTCTACTTCGGTCTGATGTGCAACCAACGGGGACCACACGCATGTTCTAATGAATGCTAACTAATCAACACTTATGGTCATTCTGTTTTGAAGGCCACCTGTCACCAGTTAGTACAGAAACAAATATAAAGAATTAGTCCCCAAACCTATTGTTAAACCTGACTACAAGTTCACGGGCCTGAAAATACAAACATCAGACGCAGCACAGAAGACAATTCGACCTTCCTTGGGGAAGATGTGGACGAGCCCTCCCCAGTAAGCTTAGTGGCAGGAGTAAAAAGTGACTGCGTGTCCCCATCAGCTCCCACGCGTCAGAGGCATGACCTCATTCTCCTAGAAGCCACGGCTTCCTTATGCGTGGCAACCCCTCCCCACCGCCCGCCTGGAAATAGAAGTCCAAAGGTCGCAACCTTTCCGCCTGGCAGTGCGGATGGCAGCGAGCCACACACACACACGCGACTGCCCTTGGCTTTTGTACTGACACCTCCGCTGACAATTCCAGCTGTGGCCAAGGCAGCCTCGTCTTGGCCTCGTCGAGGCACTGAGGGGCTGCTCGCTGGCCTCCGATGGCATCGCGGCGTACTTTCTGGCCTTCAGCAAGAACGCCAGCTCAGCCTCGCACCCCTAACCGATTCATTAACTGTTTAGGATCTTCCTAACACTTCTGGATTTAAAAAAAAAAAAAAATCTTAAAATTAAAGAACTGCGAAGCAACTCACTCTCTGTGTCTGAGTAACTATTTTTCGGCGTCCTTCATCCTGGTTGAAGCACGGCCTCTCTCTGCTGGCCTCAGACCCCCAGGCCAGGGGGTGGGGTGTCCTCTATCAAAACCCTCCCTGACTGGGGATGGAGGTGGCTAACGGGCTTCTCTTGGATAAATACTGTTCCACACCCAGGAGCGATTAAGGGTGGAAGCTCAAAAAGAGGCAGGACCGTGATCCATGTCACAGATTCAAAACTTTTGAAAAACAGAACAGTTTTTACATTAAGGCAAGGGATCTGATCTCTGGAAACAGGCAATGGAATCAAATTCTGACTTCCATGAGTAGACAGGTCCCTCTCCTGTTCGACTCAGATGTATATCAGAGATACTTACATCTGTCTCTCTTAACTGAACTTACGGAAGTAGAAAATAGGGAAACCATATCGTTCGAATTTAATTTTGGTGGCTTCAACCACTTCCCCCAGGAAAGCCTTCCACCCTGGCCACTAAGTAGGAAAATACCACTTTTATTCCCTGTGATCTCTGGTGAGAAGCCTGTAACTAGAACCCCAAAAAGCAAAGTCACTTTCAGTTGGAACAGTTCAGCCCCAGAAGGACCCGGGCCACACTGAATGGCGAGCACCCAAACAACCCCCCTCCCTTGTGCACAAAGCACTCCTCACAGGACGGCCTGCCTCGGCAGCCCCGCGTGTAGAGCTCAACTGAGGCTCTATCCTGGAAACACCGGGCCTGGCCCTTCCAGCACACGGCTCTCCCAAACTTCCTCCCCTGCCTTGCCTTCCCCCAGGGGAACTGCCAGGGACGAGGCACCAGCGAACACCAGCTCCTGGGTGTTACCAGCTCTCTCAACGTGTTAAATCTGAGTTGGGCCTTTCCCAACAGCAGCAGCTCCCTACAACTCAAGAGCCTGGCCCCCATCCCAAGCTGCTGGAACCAGAGGTGAGGTCCAAACGTCTGCATCTCTGTTCCGAGTCCAGGTAATGTCGCTGCTGGTCAGGGACCACACTGAGGACCACTGCCCTCAGCAACCTGAGTGGTTTCTGGGGTTGTCCTGAGTCCTGAACGCTGCTTGCAACATTAAAGCTCAGCATGCCTTTTGTTCAGGGACAACTGCAGCCTCTGCCAGACCTTCAAAGCAAGAATGCCAACTCAGTGTTGAGCATGACGGGCCCCCAGGACGTGGCGCCCTTGGACGCCCCAGCCAGCGGTGCGGAGGCAGCCGTCTTTATCTGAGCAAGCGCTCACTTGCCGAACTCCTGTCTGTTGCATCTTTTAGAAGACAACACTCAGGGGAAAGAAATCCCACCAGAGTTGAAGCGGCCTGGGGAACGGGACATGGCCACCTGACACACATCAGCAGTTGTGTCCTCGTAAAGGCGTGACGTTCCCAAACCCTCCTGAAATCTATTCCTGTCACCTCTCTGATCCAGAACTGGTTCCCGGGTGTGCAATGCCCCAAGGTGTGTGTTTTCCATCACTGCTCGTCAATTGTTTGCCTTTCTAATGAAGGCAACTCGTCTGTCCGTTTAGGAACGGCCACGCGCCTGGGTAGTTCTTGCATGTGCTGACCGAGTCTGTGTGCCTGGTACGAGGTACCAGTGTGCGAATCCGGCAAAACGCTAACTTAACTGAAAAACAAAGTACTGACTCACAACTTGTTCTTGATGTCACCCCTGCCTCGATGAACATTTGGCCAAATACACTGTGTATAATGACAAGCGCTGAAGCTCTCTGGAGCATGGCAAAGGTTTCAATTTCTTAAAGCTTCCACCATAATAGGTCTCATGGCAAATTTTGGAAAACATATTTCTCGTTATAATAAGCCCCTTTTAAACTGCCACTAAACACCCTAAAATCTCTTAGGCTCCTTAATAAATATAAGTAATGCCACACACACACACACACACGCACACACGCACAAACACACACAGAAATCCTGATTTATTCCCTGCTTCTCATACACAGTTGGCATCATTCTACTGAAAAAGCAACAGTGGTGACTCCAAAAAAAAATGTTTAGAATTTAATTATAAGTGTGTGTTAATCTGAGTAACTTAAGTACAGAAAAGAGTTAGTATACCACAAGCATTTTCTACACTTTTATTTTGTGGTGATTGTGAGACAAACACAGTCCAAACATTAGACTTCTCGTCCTCCCTCCTGAAGACCATCTGACTCCACAGCTCATGCACCCCAAGTACAGCAGATGTTGTGCTGGGACAATGGCTTCGCCAGGATTCCAGTTAACCCTTCTGAATCTCTCTCATCTCTGAACAAAAACGCCACACATACATGTGGTTGGGAGGCGAGGTCGTCTTCACACTCACCACCAGGGGGGGTGCGGGAGCACGAGAGCCTCACAGCCCTCCTCCGACGCCCGCCTCGCCTGAATCCGGATCCTAACCTGGTCCCAGAAAGGGCGTCACAAGCTGGCGCTCGGTCCCGTGCTGAAGGGTCTCTAATGAACACTTACAAGCACGTGTGCTTCCGGGCCACCTCTAACAGGGCCGTGCAGGTCTCTGCGAGAGCTGGATCTTCTGGTTCGGCACTTCAATTTATCCCTATTCTTCGCCTACACTCTCAGACCATCTCTGAGTCAGTCTCTCCCAGGCAGGTGACTCGCTCCCTAACACGTTAGGTGCTCGAGGAGGCGGGGTCACCGTTTCAGCCACGAGGTGCTGCCTTTTCAGCTCAGGCCGCTGCAGGCCAGAAGCCTCAGCCCAGGCCCGTGCACCTGCGAACTCCATCAGCCCAGGACCCGGCACAGAGGGCGCCAAGTTGCAGCCCCGGTGAGCCGGCCTGTCAGAAAGCACCTGCAGGGAACAGAGGCCCCGGGGGAGGAGCACCTTCTCCTAACGATTCCTGTAGCCGGAAGAGAGGTCCAGCCTGGGGACTCCCAGGGCAATGGAGGGGGAGGCGAGAGCAGCACAGCTGAAGTGCCATCGGGTGTGCACCTCTGACACACCCGGCACCCCAGTGCACGGGACTCCCACCCCACACCCACACGGACACACACGGACACGGACACACACACACACACACACACCCACACACACGCACACGATATGTGTTCCCAGCCCAGCGATGACTTAGCACCTCACTGCCCGGAGTCCCTTCTGTGACAGACATGCATGTGTAAGTGCACACGCACGCCCGCCCTGCTCCGTGACAGTCCTGGGAGCGCCTGTGATCAGGCAAGAAAGGGAGGCCAGAGAGGCCATGCTGAGCCCTCCGTGTGGGGCTGTCGGCAGCACCTAGTGTTCCCAGGGTTCCCAGCGCTGGACGAGACCCTCCTACCTCCGCCCGCCCCGCCAGTCACTAAATCCATCCTGGTTGTCTAGCTCAGTTTGTAAACAATTCTGAACCAATCCCTTGGTCACTTTCCTGGGGCTTGGTTCCCTCTAGCTCTAGAATGAAGGGGAGACACACCCTGTTTGATCTTACAGAAGAACAAAAAGGATTAACGGGAGAGTGTTTAAAAGTCAGAGGAGCCCCCACTCTGTGGCCGTCTCGCAGGTATGTACAGTGAGTCCACCAGCCCCACACACAGTGAACCAGCACAACCTCCTGCCGCCGTATGTACAAAGGTCTGAGAGTGAATGGACCGGCCACCGTTCCTTGCTCGGGGCAAGCGGTGGCCTCTGCAATCTTCTTCGCTAAGTCACTACAAAGCGTCAGTGTCAATCATTACCCTCTCCAGGTCCTGCCGCAGGTGAGTGAACAGCTGCAGCCTCCTAAACAAGACATCTTGCTCCCGCTTCGCTAGATTGTCCTCTTCGTCTTTCTTTGGAGTGATCAGGGGCTTGTTGAAGTTGACCTTCCTCTTCAGCTTCCAGTACTGGTACAGGAAGTCCACCACCTCCTCGGGCAGCCGCAGGGCCCTGGCGACGTCCAGCAGGTTGACGAAGGTGTAGAACTCGTCCTCCAGCTGCTGCAGCTTCTGCTTCCGGACGCTCACCCGGTGGGCCTCCTCCTGATTCTGCTCGAGGCTGGCCAAGGGCTCCAGCGGGCTCCGTGGGGAGCACTCGGGAGCCCCGTTCTCCTGAGCGGCCCCCTCCCCGAGGCTCTCCTCGGGTTTCCTGTGGGAGCTGTGCTTCGGGCAGTAGGACTTGAACTTGACCTCATCGTTCTCCGCCAGGATGGTCTTCATCTCCAGGCCCCGGTCGAAAGCACAGGTCACGTGGAAGGCTGTGCGGCAGTTCTTCACAGAGCACTGGGGAGGACACGCAGAGAACGAGAGGAAAAGATGGTTACGGAGGGCAGTGACAAGCCCCTTGGTGCCACGCTCCCCCGGACACACGTGCACAAGGGCTGCACTGCCAGCGTGTGCCGTGGGCGTCGCCCGATTAACCCTGCAGACCCGGTCAGGTTCTAAACAATGCTTGGCAGTTAAGGAAAAGCGTCAGACGAAAGGTTTTGTAAACCGAACCCTAACTCTCTTAGAAAAGTAACTACACCCCAATCTCCTCTCACAGTGGACACGGCTACACAATCGGCCTGTGAACTCAGGTGGCCCAACACTCAGGTTACACGCAAAGAGCATGTGCTCGGTGTGCAGCGTGCACGCTGGGGCATTCATTTGGTTCTTCTTCAGATCTGAGCTCTCTCGGTGTTTACACGGGAAGCCTGAATGGTAAGAATCTCCGCAAGAAGAATGACTAGTCGGAGCTTTTAATGGACCCTGACTCCTCACTCATGTCCAGCCAGGCTGAGCCCCAGCACAGCTGGGGAAGTGAGTGGCAGGTGGCAGCTTTCCTCCAAGCAGCCAGGGGCTGCTCAAGATGAGGAAGGCGAATTAAAAACCCCTGGAGAGTAAGAACGAAATCAAAAACGAAAAACCCGCAAGACAAGGAGACCCCAGCCCAGGAAGGACCAGCAAGGAAGCCGGTCGGGGGCAGAAGGCTCTGGGCAGCGGAGCGGCGCGGCGCTGAGGGCCTGTGCGGCCCGGCCTGGCGGTGCGGCCGCTCCCCGCGGCGCCTGGAACAGACCGCGGGGGCAGCAGAACCCTGAGGAACCTGCTCCCGCGGGTCGGGGAGGGTGACGAGAGGCCAGGGGTCACCGGGCTGCGCGGCTCCAGTTCAGTGCCTTGGAGGAAGACAGCGAGCCAGCAGCCTGGCGGGAGGGAAACGACTCCCCTCTCCCCGTCTGATCTCGCCAGGCGAAGGCCTGGAAGAGGTTCCCGCGCTGACGGAAGTCAGTCCCTTAAAAGCAGCACTGTGCTTGCGAGGCCAAGTGACGCTGGCTCGCAGGGGAGCAGAACCAGGTGGCCCTGCGCCAGCTGAGAAGTTTCAACTCATTCACCAGACCCCGAATCCACAGCCCCTGAATCCACTGCAGTTGGGGCTTCCCCCCTAATCGTGTCGGTATTCAAGAGGTGACTCACTGCCATTCACGATGTCTCCCATTATTACAAAGTCTCTTTTACCAAGTGCAGAAAATTCAGCTCCCTTCACCGTTCCGTCATTATCAACACTTAAAGCACATGAACAGAAATCTGTAATTTCATCTATAAATAACCTCAATTCCAAGAAATGTGTGAAATCAGCGTCAGTGGCAGAACACACACACACACACACACACACACACACACACGCACACGCACACGCACACGCACACGCACACACACCTGGCCAGGGTCACAGGGTGCCCCTCCCTTTTAGCACCCAGCCAAGTAGGAAGTACAAGTGGGAGCAGACGACGAGGCACTATCCGTGTTTGGCTTAAACTGCACTTAACCCAGGCCCTCCGGCCTTGAGGAGGAACGGGCTGTGGCGGGATGTTTATACAGGACTCTGTAAGGACGCCAAATGGCCTTCCTTTGGGTTTTCCGATTCAGGTTGACTCAGCAAACAGATGTTACAGAAACGTCAACCAGAGCCTTCACAGCTGCAGACATTTCAGAGAGGAATTCTTTAATAAAACTGGTCCATTCTGTGAAGATATGAAAAATCATCAACTTTCTCTGGCCTCTTCTCCTTCAAATGAATGTTCAGGGAGAAAGAGGTCAGCGGCAACCCTGGCTCCTTTCTAAAGGGAACAGACCCTTTGTAGACACCAGGTGAGGACCGGGACTGGCCTGCCAGGGCCAAGACGCAGAGTCTGCCCTCCCAAAATATGAGGTGACTTGGAAGAATGAGCTCCATTGTCCTGGGTTTGCCACAGCTTGCTGCTTTCCTGCAAACCTTCGCAGGGGTCTGCACACACACAAACTCTAATGCCTTTTTTTACTTTGAAGCTTTTAAAACATTTCTCTTCCATTTTCTCCCAATACGACTTCTCAAGCCAAAGGCTTTTGTCATGTTTTAGTTTTAAGCAGATTCTATTCACATACAAAAATCTGCACTATTTTCAAGGTCCACGGCCAAATCCCACCAGCTGTCTCCTGCCTCACCCTCCGAGTGTTTGTTAGTCGGGATTCTTGGACATCATAAGTGATAAGGAAGGAAAGCAGAACTACTTGGCGTATAAAATGAAAAAATTTTAAACCACCAGTCAGTGGGTACCTTAACAAAAGAAATATTTATCAGCTAAAATATAAACTGGTTTTGCCAAATGAGGTCATTTCTTTAAAACCCAGGACTGGCCGTTTGACCAAGCTCCTGGAGTATGTGCTGAGCTGTTGCGTTTACTGCATCGAGAGAGAAGCCACCCTTGAATGGCACCTCTGCTCCAAATATGATGAAGAGACCGAGGGAGAGCCCGTGGCCCTGGGTTGGTACCTCCCGAAGCGCCAGGCTGACCCTCAGTGCCAATGTCAGCCACACAGCATCGGCAGGCCTTGTGGAGCAGCTTCAGTGCCCTGAAGGCATGACTGCCTGGCGACGCCAGCAACCGAAGCCCAATAAGTAACTGCTCAGGTGGAGTTTTAGACATGAGAAGCAGCATGCCATCTATGTTCCCGCCTTAATCCGGTCTACTTTAAGGTCTTCTATACCTGTCTGTGTGTGGACAAATGCAAGCAAAAATTTACATACAAGCCACACACACACACACACACACGCACACGCACGCACAGCCAAAAAGAACCAGATGATCTCCAGACTGTGTTCAAATAACAGCTTCTGCAGAGAATGCGCAGTGCAGTGGGTGTCCCTCCAGCCAGTCAGTGCTCTAAGGAGCCTGTTTCACCAGACGCGAAAGCATCAGCACGCCGGCGTGGTGTCGCACAGGGTGCGGCTAAGGCCTGACGCCCCATGCATACGCCTCGGACACCAGCGGTGTCAGGGGCAGCCAGAGGCGGGTCTGCTGCTCAGCACCGTAAATGGATGAGGGCGGCCGACCCCGGAGTGTAG